GGGGGGGCTCTCAAACACAGTTTCATGGACCCTTGTACGAAGCCACCCAACAGTGAAAGAGGCAGTTCTGCCTGACAAGGCCCCCAACACAGCTGAGGACCTGCTGCTCCTGCATCCACCCAGCGAGGTGCCCAGAGCCCATCCTCTCCTCTGTGTTCTCCGATACCAGGTGCCCATAGTCATTGCATGGACGTAGACCCACAGCCACCTGGTGGAGGTAAAGCCTTCCAAGGCTGCTTTGCCACCAGTAGGTCACCAGGCCTTTCTTCCAAGGCACCTCTGGGTGGTCTCGAACCAGCAGCCTTTTGGTTAGCAGCCGAGGGAGTTGGCACCAACAGGGGCATGGTGTGTAGCTGGAGGGCTGCCGCCCGGCCCTCCCCAGCTCCATATCTAGAGAGCGACCTCAGAGGTGTGCTGGGGGTGGGGAGGGGAGAAAGTCCTACAGGTAACACTAAAGGGTACTATAAAAAATAAAATAGAAAAGGTATTCTGATGATTATGCCTAGGATTTGCACTAAAACAACCCAGGAGAAGGGGAGGGAGGAGGGTAGAGATGAAGCAGGAGGATTGATCACTGCCGAAGCTATCACCATTGCTCTCTCCACCTGTGCTCGGATTTGCAACTTTCTGGAAGAAAGCTAGACAAAAGTAGGAAAGGCAGGGGGCGAAAGTCTTCCAAAATTGGTAGCAAGTAGCATTTAAAGAAGGAAAAATAAGCTAGACTATGTCTTCATCAGGAGCCCAGGTGGCGTAGTGGTTACACGTTGGGCTAGGATTCACAAGGTCCACAGTTGGAAGCCAGCAGCCATCTCACAGGAGAAAGGGCTTTCTACTCCTGTAAAGAGTTGCTGTCGCTGAAACGCCCAGGGGCAGTTCTACCCAGTCTTGCAGGGCAGAATTGACTCCAGGGTTTGGGGTTTGCCTCTCTCTTGACCCATCAGCCCCCAGCACGCTGGTTTCATGAACAGCCGAGGAGCCGTTTGTAAATGGGTTCACAGGGTCCCGGTTCCCTGTGTTCTGCAGAACGAAGAGTTCACACTCTGAAGCCCATCGTTTACTAGAAGAACCATCACATACCTTCGATTTTATTTATGGAAAGATCCAACTTCTGCAGGTGGATGTATTCGCTGAGAATGCTGATGTCAGCTAAATCACAGCCCTGAGACAATAAAAGGGAAAAACCGTTAGCATTGCTTCAGCCGGGAGGGTGGGTGCTCCTCGGCTTGCGTGCAGGATCTGGAGAGGTGACAGAAGGGAATTCAGAATGACTCTTGACAGCTCAGGGGAGCCCAGGTGGCTTAGTGGGTGACCTGCTGGGCTACTAACCATGGTCATCAGTTCAAAACCACCAGCCTCCCTGTGGAAGAAAGACGAGGCTTTCTGTTCCCATACAGAGCTGCAGCTGGACCTGGTCTGGTTTCCAAAATTTTAGGTAGTTTTGGTTTGTATTGTTTGGTTTGGTTTTTGTCTGTTCATATGAAGGAGTATCTCACAGGTATTATGTCATTGGAGGTCAGTCACCCTCTTGAAGCTGTGTTAGAGGCTTTCCTGTTTGTCAGTATCTGAAGCCCAGGATTGATGAACTTATAGGGACAGCAAGTAGAATGAGGGTCTCAGGGGGAGAGGGGTATACAGTGGTGGTGAGCGGGTAACAGGTAGATGATGTCAAGGAGTTCAGGAAGAAAAATAATGTCTAGAAACTGGAGTAGCTATTGGACAATTCTACTCGATGTGACTGAACGATGGAATGATATGCTATATGTAGTAAATTCCAATTAACTGAAAACAGAAAGAGCTACCGCCTTGGAAACTCACTGGGGCAGCTCTGCCCTGTCCTACAGGGTTGCCCTGCGTAGGAACAGACTAGATGCCAGGGAGGTGGGTTTTTGTTTATTTTTAATCATTCATCTTGACAGCAGAGTAGAAGTGAGAAGACAGACTGGGAGTCTACCAAGAAAAGGAACTTGAGGCAGCCAACTCCATTCTTCTCCAGGAAATCGCTGCTTAGAAAATCAGTGTTGTTAGCAAACAACAAACACACAGGAGTAGGCAAATGAGGGCTGTGCTCAAGACAAGAGAGGAGTTGTACATGTGTGCGCACGCATGTGTGTATGTGTGTGTGAAAACAACAATAGGGCTTAATCTAGTAGAAAACATAAAAACAAGTGCCCAGGATGTAATGAAACCTTACAGTTGCCAGTAATCACGAGGTCATTAAATTGCGTACAACCCACACGTTGTTCGTTTCCAAAGCTCTCTCACAATCCCCTCCTCTGGCCAAACTGTGCCGGGCGATCAGCAGGGTAGATTGTTCTCGATTATGAGATGTGGAATCGGAGGGGCAGACCAAAAACCTCACTGCCCTCCAGTCACAGAGACCACCTCCCCCACCCCTACGGTTTCCCAGGCTGTCCTTCTGACCAAAGTTGCTTGCCTCCTCCTCCTCCCAAGGAGTGGTGTGGGGATCCAGCTGGGGACCTTTCGGATAGCACCTCCTGGGATGCGCCCCAAGGAATCCACAGTCTCAGTCTCCTGAATCCTAGGCTAAAATTCTTTCCGTGAAATCCCACTTCTAGTCGAATTCAAAAGGGTCTCTAGGGGAGGGGGTTGGCCTCTGGGAAGGCTCCTGGTCAGCCCTGGCCAGCGTGACAACCTCCACGGCCACCACTTCTCAAAGGGAGCCACCGCGGGTGACGCTGCTCTGCTGCTGCCACGGCCAGCCTCCCGGCCGATGCCGCCTCCCGGTGACTCCGAGTGTGCAGAGTGCAGCTGCTCTGGTGGGCTGTCAGGGCCGCAACCTTTAGCAATTCGAGGACACCCAGCCTTTCAACCGATGCACCGCTGGGGGGGTCAGAAATAACCAGCCTTGTTGCCTCCCTGCTAGATGGCTGATTGTTTAACTTCAAGCCTTTCAGACCCCCAGACGCTATATCTTTTAATAACCGGGCACCGTCAGCTTCCTTCACCACATTTTGCTTGTGCACCCATTTTGGCTTCAACGATTGTGTCGGGAAGGTGAGTAGCATACATTGCCCCATTATTAGAACAAACTGTTCTTGTACTGAGGTAAGATTTAAGTAGAGGCCCAAAGTCCCTCTGCTTCCAAGAGAGAGAGAGAGAGAGACCTATAGGTATACATTTACATATATACATATCAATATTAATACCTATATATATAATTTTTACTTCTTTGTTCCTACCTCTTTTTCTCTTTTCGTTCCTCCTGCCCCACTATCATGTTTACCTATCGTTCACCTCTCACTAATTCCTCTCAGATACATTTCAATTGACCAATCATGACCAGGAATGCAGACTTCCTCACCGGCAATTTTAGATCCCTTGCTATTCCCGTCCCTGTTATTAGCTCCCCGCTCCCCTCCCCCCACCTCCTCCTCTCCTGTGCCCCCCAGAACTGTTGGTCCCATTGCTGTCTCCTTATCCTGCTTGTCTTATATACAGAGACACATAGAAGAAGCACACCAGCCTGTGTGATTGTGAGGTGTCGATGGGAATAAGTATCAGAAGTTCAAAAACAAGCAACCAAATTGACGTGAAGGAGCAGAGACAAAGTGGAGACCCAGAGGCCACCTGTAAGACAATTGGACAGTCCTCACAGAAGGGCCACACAGAAGGGGTGATATATCCAGGGTACGGTACAGCACTGACGAAACACATAACTGTCCTCTAGTTCTTTAATATTTCCTCCCCTTACTATTATGGTCTTGGTTTTACCTCACCCATCTTGTAAGACCTGCGCATGTTCATTTGTATAATTAAGACCATTTGATGCATGAAATCCAAGACAGAGAAACCTTTCAGAAGTAGTAACAGAGTAATGACTCCCTGAGGGTACGGGAAGGGAGAGAGGGGAAGGGGACTGACAGCAATGATGACTGTGAAACCCCACCTGAAGGGAGTGGGTACATTGGATGGTGTGTAAGCTATGGCTCAATAAATAAATAATATATAATAAGGGTTCCTGGGGAGTAGGGTGGGGGGGGGATAAAGGGGAGCTGATATCAAAGAGTTCAAGAAGAAAGGATATGTTTTGAAACTGATGGTGGCAGCAATTGTAAAATTAAGCGTGGTCAAATTGAATTATGGATTGCTGTATCTCTAAGAGCTCCCAATAAAATGATTTTATAAAGAAGAAATACCAGCCTTTCTGTTAGCAGCCCAGCACTCAGCCGCAACATTTTTTTTTAAATATAAAAGCTGTTTTCCTCACCTCCACTAGATCCCTAGAAATAAACACCAGTTGCAAGGCGCTGTGCTGGGTGTCAGAAATGTGGGCCCTGAAGTAACCTCGATGTTGTCCCTTGGTGACACCTGACTTTGGTAGGGCAGAAGGTGTGTGCGCGTGCGTGCACACTCACGCTTGCAGGCAGGAAGAGAGAGTATCAGAATCACGTGTAACCTAAGGGAGACATCAGAGGGGGGTGATAAAACCTATCAAAATCATAGGCCATCCTAAGAAAGTGTATTCAGGGAGGCAGGTTATTAAGGCCGGGTAATTCAACGTGTAATATCTCAACCGGAAGGAGGTCAGTGGCAAAATAAGTTAAGCTTTGGCCCATCGAGCTGAAATAAGATTTAAAGGATTGCTTTTTCTATGGAGCAATTTAAGGCCTGGGGAGCTGCACACAGAGGGAGAATACTGATGGGGGTGGGCTTGCGGCTGGAATTCCACAACTGTGCGCCTCGCTGGGTCACCTCCGACCCCCCACAACAGCAAGTGAATACAGTGAAAGATTGGAGCTGCGATCTGCGGTCCTCAAAGGACCAGCCCGAGTGAAAAGAGCTTTAATAATACTCTGTGGGTGGCATGGCGGTTACTGTTGGGCTGCCACGCTCGGGTCTGCTGTTTGGAATTGCCAGCCGCTCCGTGGGAGAAAGACTGGGCTTTCTGTTCCCATAAGTGGGGTTCAGTCTCAGAATCTCACAGGGGCAGCTCCACTCTGTCCTATAGGGACACCAGTGTCGGCATCTACTCGCTGCAACGAGTTTGGGGTTTGTTTGTTTTGGGAGTTTGCTGACTCAGCCCCGCCATGTGTTTTACACCTGGGGTGACAGAAACGATCATGTGGTTGTGGTTGTCAATTAGCTAAAAGGTGGGTGGTTCGGATCACTCCTTGAAGGCCTGCCTGGAGATCTTGGAAGCCCTGGGGAGGGGGTTCTAGGATTAAGGTGACCAGACGTCCCGCTTTTGGTGGGACAGTCCGGATTGTTAACAATTTTTCCCGTGTCCCACGGTGTTTTAAAAAAGTCCTGATTTTTGGAAAGAATGCACGACAAGTTAGGGTATACAGCTTTCAGCTGCCATGTGGCTATGTCGCCAGGATATGAGTTCTATCAGTGGTGTCCCGCTTCACCAATGTTAAAGTCTGGTCACCTTGTTCTAGGTTGAAACTGACCTGAAGGCATTTAACCTGCCCTGTTCTGTGTCTCCGTGTCTGTGCTTATTCTGTGGCTCCCCCAGCAGTAACGACTCTGCTCAACAAGAGGAAACAGAGACCTCCCTTCCTTTTGACAGAGCCGCAGAGAAATGCACAGAGAAACAGGCGTCTGCTCTAATGGAGAACTCTCCCTCCGATACCAATGGTTGGAGACGAGGCAGCAGCCCGCTCTCTAGCAAGTACTGAAGTCTTGAAAACTGCGGGGCGGCAACGGATTATTTGTCTTCGGTAAGAGGAACCTTTTGGGAAAGGAGATGGAGCCCACAGCAACCTAGTTCTTGATGTACTAAGTCACTACCCAAATAGTTCAGGTATGCATTTTCCTCCTTCGTGTGCCGATCGGAGACACGCAATAACAACAACAACAACAACAACTCTCAAGCAGCATTTGATTGCTTCTCCCGAATGGAGTTCAATCTTTCTGGTACAAAGCGACTGATTGCTAGAATATACAGACTACTTAAGGTAAAAGAAAAACCAAGGAGTTTGGGGGCACATGGCTGGGTCAGCCTGGCCTCCTTGAGGCCCAACATTTTATATAAGCAGCTCTGATTTCT